TTTGTCCGCATGCTTTTGTAAGCTACCTTGCGCAAGCCGTTTCCGACATATGCCCAGGCGCGTTAGGCTGTTGTTTGCCATTAGACCTGGAAGACGACCTCATACATTGAAATTGCACATGGAAGTCTTGAAGGGGCCGCGGTGCAACGAAAATCTTGACCGGAAATTTCGCGCACCAGGCGCATGCTGACGCGAAAATGTGCGAACCAAGAACCACGGCGACGAGCGACTAAGACGGCCATCCTGATGCCCGTGCGGGCCCCCCTACAGACCTGACCCCCCAGGCATTCCCAAAAGATAACTGAGGGAGATGGCCTTTGCAGTGGTAGCAGAACGAGTAGTGACTTGGGTTCTTCTTGCACCCACATGACAGGCAAATGACTCCAGTCGCCATCTTCCCATCTCTAGAACCTTTCCCTGCCATGCCACAGGGAGAAACACGGAATGCAGACTTCTGAGGCCTGCGCGCGTGGGCCTAGGCGACCCTGGCCAAACCGGGAAAACGGTGAACCCCTTGAGAGGTTGGGAAGTTCAGGAGCAGGCCCCTTGAGCCAAAATGGCTACGGTCCTCCTCCTCCTCATCCTCCTCCTCCTCCTCCTCCTTCTCCTCCTCCTCCTCCTCCTCCTCCTCCTCCTCATCCTCCGCTTCCTCCCCCCACTCCTAGCCCTTTCGATCAGGGTCGGCGGCACCGGCCGTCAGGCCTCTCCAATCACAAGGATGTGAAAGACTAGGGAAGAGGCGGGAATGGGGGCGGGAAGAGGGCAGAAATTGGTCAAGATTTGCAGCGCCAGCCACTTCGAAGGCTGCAGAAGACTTCGAAGGCCGCCGCAAGCAAAGCCGCGGCGCGCGGGAAACCCTTCACCCCGCACCGGCTGTCGCGGCCCGCAGATGCCCTCCCTTCCTTCCCCCCCCCCTTGCGCCCACCTTCCGTGGCCCCGGCACTCACCCACCTCTGCAACGACTGGCTTTGAACTTAATCGGGCGACGCCTGCGAACAAGATCTTCAACCTTGTTGCGTCTCGCCATCGCAACGAAGCACTAAATCGCTACCCTTGAGGCCTGGGAGGAGGAGCGTGAGACAGCCGAAGGACTGCGTGAGGCAGCCGACGGACTGCGATTCCCGCTTGACCTAGGCGATGATCCGATCCCGCTTGACCTAGGCGATACTCCGGTCGATCCACCACGTGACAAGCTGCGCGCCGGCGTGGGGCCGCCGCTCGGCAAAGGGTTGCGCCTTGGGGACGCTCCCGGCGCCCTAGGCGATACTCCGGTCGATCCACCACGTGACAAGCTGCGCGCCGGCGTGGGTTGCTCCTTGAGAGCTCCCGGCGCAAACCATAAAATGTCCTCAGGCGTCCCGTGCTCCAAGTCCTCTTCGGACTCCCGGTACTGGCGGCTCCTTAAATACCATACGGCATGAACGCAACAACACAGAACAACGACCGCACCAGCTATAATGCCAATGATCAAAAAATCCGCCGACCCCTTGTGGGTCTCTAGGCGTGTGAGATAATTCCTTCCCCCATACCCCCCCGAAGGGACCCCAAACCGGAGATTTGACCCCCCCCCTCGCCCGGGACGAGCGCACCACGAAGCTTTTCCGGGCCCAAGAGGGTCTCAAGACGGGCCTAGAAAGCCCCAAGAGGCCTCCAAAACGGCCCACGAGGGCCCCGAGACGCTAAACGAGCGCTCCAAGACGCCCTAGCTGGCCCAAAGATGGGCTCAGAGGCCTCCAAGACGGCCCAAGAGGTCCCCAAGAGGCCCCAAGAGGCCTCCAAGATGCGTCCCAAGAGGGCTCCTAGACGCAAAAAATTGCCCATTCCCTTCGTAAAACATACAATTTTCATACATTCGCCTTCTGGGCTGTCCGATGCTCTCAGACGGCCCAAGAGGACCCCAATACCGCCCCAAGACGGCCCAAGAAGCCTCCAAGAGGGTCCCAAGATAGCCCAAGCGGGCCCCAAGACAGCCCAAGAGGCGTCCAAGACGGCCCAAGAGGGCCCCGGAGACGGCCCCAAGAGCGCTCCAGGAGCGCTCCAAGTCGCCTCCCAGAGAGCTCAATATGGTCCCAGACGGTCCAAGAGCGACCAAAGACACCGAAGATGGCCTCCAGCGGTCCAAGATGCCCCCAAGAGGCCCCAAGAGGCATCCAAAATACGTCCCAAGACTCTAACCGCAAAAAGTTGGCCCGTTTCCTTTGTGAAACGTAGTTTTTCACAAATGAGCCTTTTGGGCTTTCCGACGCTCCCAGACGGCCCCAGAGGCCTCCAAGACCGCCCCAAGACGGTCCAAGAAGCCTCCAAGAGGGCCCCAAGACAGCCCAAGAGGGGCCCAAGACGGCTCCAGAGGCGCCGAAGACGGCCCAAGAGAGCCCTGAAGACGGCCCCAAGAGCGCTCCAAGCGCGCTCCAACTGGCTTCCAAGAGAGTTCCACATGGTCCCAGACGGTCCAAGAGCGATCAAAGACACCCGAGATGGCCTCCAGATGGCCCAAGACGCCCCCAAGAGGCCTCCAAGGTGCGTCCCAAGAGGGTCCCTAGACGCAAACATTGGCTCATCTCCTTCGTAAAACGTATATTGTTTTACACATTCCCGCCCCAAGACACCCCAAAAGAACCCCCCAAGACGGCCCCTCGACGGCCTAATATGGCCCTAAGACGGCTCAAAAGGGCCCCAAGACGGCCCAAGAAGGCTCTCAGACGGCACCAAGAGGAGCCGAAGAGGGCGACCAAAAATTCCAAATTCTACTTGTCCGCCCCCGGGAGCCCCAGGGAGCCCGAGGAGTGCCCCAAGAGGCCGCCAAGGGCCCCCAAAAGGCAGCCTCCCAGACGGCCCACGAGGGCCCCGAAACGCCAAACGAACGCTCCAAGACGCCCAAGATTGCCCCAAAAGGGCCAAGAGACCTCCAAGACGGCCCAAGAGATCCCCAAGAAGCCTCCCAAGAGAGCCTCGATGAGTGAAAATGTGTTATTTTCCATTGTGGTGTTCCTATGTGTCTTGCCTTTGCATCTTTTCGGCTTGCGGGCGCTCCAAGACGGCCCAGGAGGCCTCGAAGACCGCCCAAGAGGCGCCCAAGGCGGCCCCAAGACGGCCCCAAGACGGCCCAAACCCAAGATGGCCTCAAGACGGCCCAAGAGGCCCCCAAGACGGCCCCAGAGGACTCCAAGACAGCACCATGAAGAGCCCCAGAGGGCCACCAAAAATCTACAAAATCTAGCTTTCCGCCCCCAGGAACCCCCGGGGGCACCAAAAAAGCACCCCTGGGGGCCCAACAAGGCCCCAAGACGGCCCACGAGGACGCCAAAGCAGCCCAAGAAGAGCCCAAAGAAGCCCAAGAGAGCTCGAAGACGAGCCCAGGAGTAGCCCGAACAGCCCCTAAGATGCCCCCCTCAGGCCCCGAAGAGCTCCCAAGAAACCCGACAAGAACCCCAAAACGACCGCCAAACGGTTTCGAACCATCTCATCATTGACTTCAATGAAGGGGTCGGCGGATGTGGCGTAAGCCTGAAGAATCGATGCTCGCCGTGTTCTCCATGTCGGCAATGAGTTGTGCCACTGTTGATGTCGTTGCTGATGTCATTGCTGTGGTTGATGTCGTCTGGGTGTTGGTGATTAGCAGTATCCTGGGCTCTGCGTGTGAGAGGACACTGGAATTTGACACGAGTGTCAGGCCCTCTGATGACATGGCAGCCAGCATGAGGCTATAAAACCCCTCAATTACCTCCAAGTTCTCTCCTGTAGTCGCGTTTACATGCGTATGCAGCTGTGTCCCTAGGTTGTATGTCGAGATGGCGGCATATTCACTTACAATTGTCGTCCAATCGACCTGCCAGTACGTGACTGAGCTGGTGAGCTCCCGGTCCGACATGAGCCGTCGCGAGTTGGGCGTGAAAACCGAGGCAACACAGGTCACAGTACTTTCGGGCACGTCCGAAGAGGCAGCAAGTGCAGTCACCGACGCTCTTTCCACCTGCTCTGCAGAGCCCGTGCTTTCGAACCACATAGTGCCATCAACAGAAAATAATTGCGTAGTGGTGCTTGTCTGTGTCGTGACGGTGATGGTGGTAGTTGCGCCGAGAGGGGTGGTGGTGGTGATAGTGGTGTCTGTGGTGGTGGTGGTCATTGTGACAGTGATTAGGGTCGTGGTGCTGGTCATGGTGGCAGTGGTCGCTGTGCTTGTGGTGCTGGACAGTGTAGTGCTGGTAGCGGTGCCAGTAGACACAGTACTAGTGCTGGTCAACGTGCTGGTCGCGGTCAAGGTAGTGGTGCTGGTCAAGGTAATGGTGCTGGTGCTAGACACAGTACTGGTGCTGGTCAAGGTGGTGGTGCTGGTCGCGGTATGAGTGGACATGGTGCTGGTGCTGGAGACTGTGGGGGCTGGGGCCGGTGCTGGCGTCGGCGCTGGCGTTGGTGCTGGCGTCGGCGCTGGCGTCGGCGCGGGCGTTGGTGCTGGCGTAGGCGCTGGCGTTGGAGCTGGCGTAGGCGCTGGCGTTGGAGCTGGCGTAGGCGGTGCTGGCGTCGGCGCTGGCGTTGGTGCTGGCGTCGGCGCTGGCGTCGGCGCGGGCGTTGGTGCTGGCGTAGGCGCGGGCGTAGGCGCCGGCGTAGGCGCTGGCGTTGGAGCTGGCGTAGGCGGTGCTGGCGTCGGCGCGGGCGTTGGTGCTGGCGTCGGCGCTGGCGTTGGTGCTGGCGTGGGCGCTGGCGTTGGTGCTGGCGTCGGCGCTGGCGTCGGCGTTGCAGTGGTGCTGGTTGCAGTGGGGCTTGTCAGAGTAGTGGTGCTAGTCATGGTGGCAGTGGTCAGGGTAGTGGTGCTGGTTGCAGTTAAGCTCGTCAGGGTAGTGGTGCTGGTCATAGTAGCAGTGGTCAAGGTGGAGGTGCTGGTCATGGTGCTGGTCATGATGACGGTGGCCAGCGTAGTGGTGCCAGTAGACACAGTACTAGTGCTGGTCAACGTGCTGGTCGCGGTCAAGGTAGTGGTGCTGGTCAAGGTAATGGTGCTGGTGCTAGACACAGTACTGGTGCTGGTCAAGGTGGTGGTGCTGGTCGCGGTATGAGTGGACATGGTGCTGGTGCTGGAGACTGTGGGGGCTGGGGCCGGTGCTGGCGTCGGCGCTGGCGTTGGTGCTGGCGTCGGCGCTGGCGTCGGCGCGGGCGTTGGTGCTGGCGTAGGCGCTGGCGTTGGAGCTGGCGTAGGCGCTGGCGTTGGAGCTGGCGTAGGCGGTGCTGGCGTCGGCGCTGGCGTTGGTGCTGGCGTCGGCGCTGGCGTCGGCGCGGGCGTTGGTGCTGGCGTAGGCGCGGGCGTAGGCGCCGGCGTAGGCGCTGGCGTTGGAGCTGGCGTAGGCGGTGCTGGCGTCGGCGCGGGCGTTGGTGCTGGCGTCGGCGCTGGCGTTGGTGCTGGCGTGGGCGCTGGCGTTGGTGCTGGCGTCGGCGCTGGCGTCGGCGTTGCAGTGGTGCTGGTTGCAGTGGGGCTTGTCAGAGTAGTGGTGCTAGTCATGGTGGCAGTGGTCAGGGTAGTGGTGCTGGTTGCAGTTAAGCTCGTCAGGGTAGTGGTGCTGGTCATAGTAGCAGTGGTCAAGGTGGAGGTGCTGGTCATGGTGCTGGTCATGATGACGGTGGCCAGCGTAGTGGTGCCAGTAGACACAGTACTAGTGCTGGTCAACGTGCTGGTCGCGGTCAAGGTAGTGGTGCTGGTCAAGGTAATGGTGCTGGTGCTAGACACAGTACTGGTGCTGGTCAAGGTGGTGGTGCTGGTCGCGGTATGAGTGGACATGGTGCTGGTGCTGGAGACTGTGGGGGCTGGGGCCGGTGCTGGCGTCGGCGCTGGCGTTGGTGCTGGCGTCGGCGCTGGCGTCGGCGCGGGCGTTGGTGCTGGCGTAGGCGCTGGCGTTGGAGCTGGCGTAGGCGCTGGCGTTGGAGCTGGCGTAGGCGGTGCTGGCGTCGGCGCTGGCGTTGGTGCTGGCGTCGGCGCTGGCGTCGGCGCGGGCGTTGGTGCTGGCGTAGGCGCGGGCGTAGGCGCCGGCGTAGGCGCTGGCGTTGGAGCTGGCGTAGGCGGTGCTGGCGTCGGCGCGGGCGTTGGTGCTGGCGTCGGCGCTGGCGTTGGTGCTGGCGTGGGCGCTGGCGTTGGTGCTGGCGTCGGCGCTGGCGTCGGCGTTGCAGTGGTGCTGGTTGCAGTGGGGCTTGTCAGAGTAGTGGTGCTAGTCATGGTGGCAGTGGTCAGGGTAGTGGTGCTGGTTGCAGTTAAGCTCGTCAGGGTAGTAGTGGTGCTGGTCATAGTAGCAGTGGTGCAAGTGGTGGAGGTGGTCAGGGTGGTGCAGTGAGTGGTGCTGGTCATGGTAGCAGTGGTCAAGGTGGAGGTGCTGGTCATGGTGCTGGTCATGATGACGGTGGCCAGTAGTGGTGCTGGTTGCAGTGGTGCTTGTCAGGGTAGTGGTGCTAGTCATGGTGGCAGTGGTCAGGGTAGTGGTGCTGGTTGCAGTTGTGCTCGTCAGGGTAGTGGTGCTGGTCATGGTAGCAGTGGTCAAGGTGGAGGTGCTGGTCATGGTGCTGGTCATGATGACGGTGGCCAGCGTAGTGGTGCTGGTTGCAGTGGTGCTTGTCAGGGTAGTGGTGCTAGTCATGGTGGCAGTGGTCAGGGTAGTGGTGCTGGTTGCAGTTGTGCTCGTCAGGGTAGTGGTGCTGGTCATGGTAGCAGTGGTCAAGGTGGAGGTGCTGGTCATGGTGCTGGTCATGATGACGGTGGCCAGCGTAGTGGTGCTGGTTGCAGTGGTGCTTGTCAGGGTAGTGGTGCTAGTCATGGTGGCAGTGGTCAGGGTAGTGGTGCTGGTTGCAGTTGTGCTCGTCAGGGTAGTGGTGCTGGTCATGGTAGCAGTGGTCAAGGTGGAGGTGCTGGTCATGGTGCTGGTCATGATGACAGTGGTGCTCGATAGACTGGCAGTACTGGTCACGGACGTGCTGGTCATAGTGGTAGTACTACTTACGGTGGTGCTGGTCATAGTGGTAGTATTCGTCGCGGTGGTGCTGGTCATAGTGGTAGTACTCGTCACGGTGGTGCTGGTCATATTGGTAGTACTCGTCGCGGTGGTGCTGGTCATAGTGGTAGTACTCGTCACGGTAATGCTAGTCATAGTGGTAGTACTCGTCACGGTGGTGCTGGCAAGGAGCCTCCTGCCCTTCAGAGATTTGGTAGCGATGCTAGTTATGGAAGCGATTGCCGGGGGGAGGGTGTTGCTTATCATGGAGGTTGCGACGTGAATGTCACGTCCACCACCGCAAATACAGCAAGCTTCCACAGCCGAATGGCCCATGCTCCCCACGTCCGAAGGATAGCCGATGACGAAATGGCGATTCATGATCTGATCAGCAGATGTCGTGCACAAGCCATCGTAGTCGTCGCATGGAAGCCCTCTACTATCGGTCCAATCTGCGGGATTGTTTGCACAACCCTGCCTCTCATGACAGCGCGCCTCACATCTCATCATCGCCAGAAGCAACGCGGTGAACACCCCGTACAAGCTGCAATGCAACTCATACGGACTGCCTTGGCGCCCAGGGCCCATTGATATCTTGGGAGGCACCCGACGCGTTTCAAACTCAAGACGATGTGTAGTCACTGAGCACGGCTGCGCTTCAGCGGATGACGATGACGAAGATGATAACGATGTTGATGATGATAATTATGATGATATCAAGATGATGATGATGATGATGATGATGATGATGATGGTGATGATGATGGTGGTGGTGATGATGATGATGATGATGAGGATGATGACGATGATGATGATGACGATGAATTCTTTTGGGGGGGAGCGGGAGGGCTGTACCTGCAGTATGGACCCAAGCAGGATGGCGAGCAACCTGCATCGTGCCAAAACATCAAGGTGGACGGTCCACGACGGGTTGCAAAGGAAGCAACCGAGCGCTCGAATGAATGCCGTCTACCTCCCCACCACCATCCGAACCCACCGACGCACCGCCCGGCCAAGCCTACCCCCCATCCCCCCATACAATTGTAAGGCGATGGGGCCCAACTCTGCAGCGTAGCTCTCCGCGGCAGGGAACCCTACCTAATCTGAAGGCAACGACTACAAGGTCCAGCCGCTACGTACGCCACCGTGCCGTTAAGCACGGGTTGACCTACAGGGCCTCGTGCCGCTCACCTGGCGCCCCTACCTGAATGCACAGGCGCAAGGAACAACTCGTTCTAAACCTGCAGCATGGATCTAAGCAGGATGGCGAGCAACTGAGCAATATCGCCACGGATGATCCGAACATCTGCATCGTGCCAGAAAGCGTGGCTGAACCCGTGCCAATCTAGCATTCGGGCAGCCCCAAAAAAGATGTGCTCTGAGACATGGCACTGGACTCGCGGCAAGGTCGGAAAATCCAACGAAAACCTAAGGTGAGGTCGGGCGTGTCCCCCTACAGGCGGATTTGGGACGAAAAATTCACAAACAAAAAAACTGAACAAAAAATCAAACAAAAGAAAGGTCCGCAGGCTATTGTTCCACTATTCTTGAACATGCCCCCCTGTAGAGGGACAGGCCCAACATAAACCCGAGGAAAAGCAACCCGGCCCGCACTCCCCCCTCCTGACGCTGACGCTGCGGGCAGGCCCAGGCCAGCCCTCGGCGCCCTCGGAGCCCCCTCCTGGCCTGGACCACCGTATACAGAAAAAAAGTGCTCAGAGGGCCTCACCCACTGCGTGACCGACACGACGAGCGGCGAATCTCGTCACTCCGCGGGATCTCGACGACCTTCTTGTCCTCCTTCTTCGGGGCGTGCAGCATGCCGAGGAGCGGGATTCGAGCGCCCACGCGCTTCCTGTAGTCCTAATACACCACCTCCACGTGGTAGGCATCGCAGTCTCGCTCCTCCAGGAATAAGGTGGCAAACTCGACGTAGACGTGCCTCGGGACGACGTACGCCCGACGATTCCACGTCATCAGGGGCGTGATGTAGAACTGCATCATGAACGAGAGCATGATAGGGCGTCGGACGACGGCAAAGAACCCGCGCTCGGTGAAGGGGAGCATATGCACCGGCGCCTGGGCCGCGTCTTCGGGCGCGGTGCTGGGGAGCCCGACGGTCCCCTGGTGCACCTTCAGGTCGAAGGACATGTAGATCCCCAGGTGCTCCTTGATGTCGACGCAGAGGATGGCCGCGTGAAGGAAGAGGACGCAGTTGCAGAACTGGAACGCGTGAAACCACGACGCGTACTCCGAGAGATCCCATATCGGCTCGACATCAGACAGGACGGGCTGCCACAGAATCATCAGCGCGTAGAGCTCCACGAGGATCTGAGTTGTGTACATGCTGCAGCACGCGTTCCCGAAGATGGGCAGGGGCCCGCGCTTCACAGAGCCGCAAGGGAGCACGGAGTGAGGGATCACCCACGCCAAGAGCATGGTCAGGTTGATGGCCAGCTTCGCCCACAACGACTCCGCAAGAGGGGGCACCAAGCACGCGGCCTGCCCGGCCCCGCTACAGCAGTCGATGCTGAGCCCCTGCAGAAGTCTGGAAGAAGGTTCGGGAGCGAGTTCAACCACGCGGGATACAAGTAGACCCAGGGCCCAGTCAATCCGAACGTGGCGACGCCGAACGACTTCACAGGACAGCCCATGACCTCACGCGCGCTCGGCGCGAGGCCCTGTGCAACAAGACAGCGACGAGTCCCTCGGAGGCAGACAAAGCCACTTGAGCCAAAATGGCTACGGAGATGATGATGATGATGATGACGATGATGATGATGATGTTGTTGTTGATGATGATCGATGACGACGACGAAGACGACGATGATGATGATGGTGATGATGGTGATGATGATGATGGCGATGACGATGATGATACCAATGATGATGATGATAATGATGAAGATGATGATGATGATGATGATAATGATGATGATGATGATGATGATGGTGATGATGATGATAATGAAAATTATGATGGTGATGAGGGTGATGATGATGGGGGCGATGGTGATGGTGATGATGATGACGATGATGATGTTGGTGGTGATGATGATTTTCTTGTTGGTGATGGTGATGGTGATGAAGATACTGGCGCTGATGATCATGATAATGATGCTGGTTATGACGACGGTGATGATGACGATGACGAGGATGATAAGGATGGAAGGAATACGAAGATGGAGATGATGACAAGGGTGAGGATGAGGAATACGATAATGATGGGGATGATGGGGATGAGGACGCCGTGGACGAGAATGAGGAGCAGGCGGAGGAGGAAGAGCAAGGCCGTCACATATGACACTTCTCGTTTTCACTATTTGAGGAGCTCTCGTGGAACTTGTTTGGGACGTCTTGGGGCTGCCTTGGCCTCTTGTTAGGCAGTCTTGAAGGCCCCTTGGGGCCTTCTTGGGCAGTCTTGGGGTCCTCTTACGCAATCTTGGGGCCCTCTTGGATCATCTTGAGGCCTTCTTGGCCGAATAATTCGTATCCAGGGGCAGTTGTGGGGAGACCTTGTGCCGTCGTAAGGCCTTCTAAGGCTGGCTTGGGTCACACGGAAGGCCCTCTCGAGCCATCTTCGGGCACTCTTGGGTGCCTCTTGGGCCATCGTGGTACCTCTTTGGACATCTTGGGGCCCTCTTAGGGGGCCTCTTGGGCTGTCATGAGGCCATCGTGGAGGATTCTTGCGCCATCTTGGGCTGACGGAAGCACGAAAAATATGAGAATGCGAGAAACATCCACTAACCAAGGGGGAATCACTGATTTGAGCTTCTCCGGGCCCAGTTGGATGTCCGCATGTGGCCGGTTTGGGCCATCTTGGAAGCATCTCGGGCATTCTTGGAGCCATATGGAACCGCTTTGGGGCCATCTTGGGCAATCTTCGAAGCATGTTAAGCCATTTGGGAGTCTTTGGTCGCCTGCCTCTGCCGCCTTGGAAGCTCGGGACACAGACACATCGTATTTTGCGAAGGATCGTGGCCTCAGGAACGCAGAGTCATTGTCCTTTACAAGGAATTGTGGCATCGGGAGGGGGTGAGCGGTGCATGCAACGAGACGCGAGCGAGGAGTGTCCCTCATTGGACTACAAAACCCTAGCAGGCAGACCTTGACGTTCCTCCACGCCTAAACGTGCGCACGGAACGGCGTTGGATCTGACAAACCAGAAACGAAGTCTGACAGCGAATGCCGAAATTCTCCGAACGCATCACGCCCACCTCCACACGAGGCCGGAGAAGCACTCGATCCAATTCCAATAGCACGCGCATTGAACAACTCACGTAGAGCCGCGATCTTGACAAACTGGGGCGATGATGGGCAGACGGGCCACCTACCACACCCCAAGAAGAAGAAGTCGCCCCACCTCGGTCTCAGCTCAAACCAAAAAACTGGCCCCGAGCAGGATGACGTAGCGAACTTGCGCGGCGGCTGACGCGGGCTAACCCCGCGGCACGACGCCCTGGAAACGAGGACGCCGACGCGCGGCCCTGCGCGGGCAGCGAACGCGAACGTCGGTGAAGTCGACCCCGTGCTCCCGCGCCGCTCGCTTGAATCAGGGGCAACAAAAATCCGCCCCGTAACAAGCACCCCGACAAGCAGTGTCGTTTCGCGAACGCACCCACGAGTGAAATCGAACAAGGCACGGCTGTTTCGTAAACGCCCAAGGCTCCTCAGTAAACGCCAATTGTCGCGATCCGGGTGTTTTTCCCCCATAATCCTAAGATGGGGTTCTTGTCATTCCTTGGACGCCTCCTACTCCTTCTTCTTCTCCCTCTTCTCCTCCCCTCTCCTCCTCATACCCAGATTTACTCATACACAGACTGACTCACACTGAGACTTACTCATACCCAGATTTATTCTCTCACACGCACACACACACACAAAATTACTCATACTCAGACCTACTCATACTCAGACCTACTCCTACTCAGATTTACTCATGCTGAGGCTCACGCACGCCCCCTTCGCGGCCGATTTGTGGGGATGCCTCAAGCGGTTTGCCAGTTTTCTGTCCCAACATCCTTCGCTTTCGGAGCAGACTTGGACGATGTCTCGAGCAAGGCGCTCATTTTCACGTCCCTAAGGGGTGCCGCCGAGGGGTGTTGCACGGTCCCGTTCGCGGCCGTTTTGTGGGGATGCCTCAAGCGGTTTGCCTGTCTTCTGTCCCAACATCCTTCGCTTTCGGAGCAGACTTGGACGATGTCTAGAGCGAGGCGCTCATTTTCACGTCCCTAAGGGGAGCCGCCGAGGTGTGTTGCACGGTCCCGTTCGCGGCCGTTTTGTGGGGATGCCTTAAGCGGTTTGCCTGTTTTCTGTCCCAACATCCTTCGCTTTCGGAGCAGACTTGGGCGATGTCTCGAGCGAGGCGCTCATTTTCACTTCCCTAAGGGGAGCCGCCGAGGGGTGTTGCACGGTCCTGTTCGCGGCCGTTTTGTGGGGATATCTCAAGCGGTTTGCCTGTTTTCTGTCCCAACATCCTTCGCTTTCGGAGCAGATTTGGACGATGTCTCGAGCAAGGCGCTCATTTTCACGTCCCTAAGGGGAGCCGCCGAGGGGTGTTGCACGGTCCCGTTCGCGGCCGTTTTGTGGGGATGTCTCAAGCGGTTTGCCTGTCTTCTGTCCCAACATCCTTCGCTTTCGGAGCAGATTTGGAGGATGTCTCGACGAGGCGCTCATTTTCACCCCCCATGCGGGCCAGATTTTCAAGATGTCTCGATCGGTGGCCAGACTCGTGGGCACAGATTCTCCTCAGGATGCCACTGGAGGCTCCAACAGGCCAGGAGCCCACATGAGGTCCCAGGATGCATCAGGAGGCCACAGAGAGACTCAACAGGCCACAGGATGTCCCAAGAGGCTCTAGGAGGCCCTAGGAAGCTCCGGGAGGCCTCAGGAAGCCACAGGAGGCCCCAGGAGGCCAGAGGAAGCGCCAGGAGGCCTCGGAAGGCAACAGGAGGCCCCGAGAGGCCCCAGGAGCGGGAGGCCTCAGAAGGCAACAGGAGTGGCTCCAATCCCATGTGTTTGACGTATGCTCCTGTAGATTGGGCCTCACCTGGAGCACGAATCCTTGATGTCATACGTATGTTTCTATAGATTGCCCTTCTCCTGTGTACTTATGTTCCTATAGGGCCTCTCCTGGGGCACGAGTCCTTGGTGTTTTACGCGTGTTCCTATAGATTGCCCCCTTCTCCTGTGGCTCCAATCCGCAATGTTTTATGTACGTCTGTTGCTATAGATTGCGCCTCTCGTGGGGCACGAATCCTCCCTGGGAGGTCCCAGGAGGCCCCAGGAGGCCCCAAGAGGCTCTTGGAGGCCCCAGGAAGCCCCAGTAGGTTTCAGGAGGCCCCAGGAGGCCCCAGGAGGACCCAGGCCCATGCGCAGAGACGCGCTCGTACTACTGGGGTTCATTCACACTCCAATTCATTCTCAATTAGATTCATGACCAGACCGTCACAACTGAAGCCCGTTTATATTCGAAAGCTCTTGCGCCTAGACATTCCCGGCGGACAGGTCCATGCGAATAGACACAAGTTTACTCATACCTACTCATACTCAGGTCTACTCCTACTCAGACTTACTCATGCTGAGATTCACTCATACCCAGACTACCTCATATTCAGAATTGCGGGGCGCTGGTTTCAGCACCCCTAATGGGAGCCGCCAGGGGTGATTTCACGGTCCCGTTCGCGGCCGTTTTGTGGGGATGTCTAAAGCGGTTTGATTGTTTCTGTCTCAACATCCTTGGTTACCAGAGTAGATTGTGCGGATGTCTCAGGCGGGGCGCTGGTTCCAGCACCCCTAGGGGGAGCCGCCAAGGGTGTTTTCAAGGCTCCGTTCGTGGCCGTTCTGTGGAGATGTCTCAACATGATATTCGTATGTTGCGCTGCATGGCTAGACGCGCATTCCCAGATCCCCTTAACAATTATCATTTTGTTGTTAATATATATATATATATATATATATATATATATATTATAACAATAATAATAATAATGATAATAATAATAATAATAATAGTAATAACAATAATAATGCAATTATAATAATAATATTAATAATAATAATCATAACAATAATAATAATAATCATAATAAAAATAATAACCATACTAATAATAATCATAATAATAATACTAATAAAGATAATAATAATTAAAAAAGAAATAAATAAATAAATAAATACATAAATATGTAAACAAATAAATAAAAAATAAATAAATAAATAAATAAATAAATAAAAATAATAATAATAATAATAATGCACATATGGGGATCTCCACGCAGTGAGTAATTCTCTCTTGGCTGAACCAGAATGGCACTGACGACCGACGGCCGACGACGACGTCCCACTCTCGACGACCGCTGGCCGATCTGAGACGGCAGCGAAGCGGAGATCCTGCGGGCCGCCACCGGCGGGGCTCATGCAGAAGGCATTCAGTCGATCGTCGCCTGAGGGTGGCGCAGGCACGCAACCCACAGGGACATGAAACCTGGTGGACGAAATAACAAGGTAGGATCCCCAGGATGATTGGTTACCACGGTGATTTAAATGCCATCGAAAAAAGGAGATCGCTTCAGTGCTTAATGATCGCCATGCGACCCGTGTGTATTTGTGGCCAAAGCGGTGGCTGAAATTTGGGAAACGCGGAGCGGAACAAACTGGAGGAAAGATCCGACACAGGGCAAGCTCATGGACAGGAGGGACTAAGTGGCGGGGGAAAAGGAGAGAAGGGGAAGGGAACGCGGAGGGACAGGGAGACGAGGAGAAGTAGGGGGGCAAGGAGATCGCAACCTTGCGGGCCGGGGGTCCGCCGGGGCGCGCGGGGTACTGCCGAGCCCACCTCCTGTGGCGGGAGGCGCCGCTGACATAGAGCACGGGTCGGGGGGACCCATTCCCCCTGGCGCGGTCGGTGAGGACCACGAGTGGGAAACACAATTTTTTGTTGCATCGGCGGCGAGGCAGGGCAAGGTTGCGCGAGCGGAAAGGCCTAAACAGGGGTGCTGCTAGGGCAAACTGTGCCACCATGCAAAAACGGGAAGCAGGAGGACGCAGCCGAAACAGGGGGCGGAGGCAGCGAGCCGCTCAGGGAGGCGGATCACGCCCCGAGCGTGTGGCGCGGCCGGCCCCGCTGGCGGGCCCGCGGCGGCTGCTGGTGATAAGAGCGACACCCGCCCCGTCCGCACGCCCACGAATTAGGTGCAGAATCCCGTCGTACTGTGCAGCGTCGTGGTGCTCAGCTCCGTCGCGATTCTCGGTGTCGAAAAGCTGGCGACAGAAAGTTTTCTCATTTGGCGTTTCGACATTGGGCGAAAGGGGGGGTCTGGCTCTGGACGCCTGCTTAGCGCGACTGATGGAAACAGTGCCGACAACATCTCACGATATTTGAAACTCACTGGAACATACGCACAACAATATTACATCAAGAATAAAGACGAAACGACTTGAAATTAATTCACACAAGCCCAAAACAATTGAACGTAAAGGAACGTGACAGGAATTCAGCAGAAGCACGAAAACTTAAGCAACAAGACTTCAGCAGAAAGACAAGATATATACATTAGCAAGACGAAGCGAGAACATCAAAAGGAAACGAAACTTAGCAGAAGGCGACGAAAATAGATAAAAGGAGGTTGAGTTTAGAAAACTCCAAATCTGCACTTCCAGGATTTCTCTGGAACCTTCCAGATATGCTTTTCCAGAGGATCCCACAACAACTGGCGACCCCTGGGGGTATGTCTTGTCTTTAACGAACGCATCCGGCACTCTGAAAGACACCCCGAACACACACACACACACACACACAATGCACAGTTGCGCGAAACAACGATTCGCGTGTCCACCAGGCAGGGGAGGAGGCGGGGCCACCGTGTTTACACCACCTGCTGGAAAAAGGCGCCAAAAACAGCCAAGTTCTGCTCCACGGGGACGGGGGGGGCGAGGGCCCGCGCCGATCGGCAACGCAATGAATAAGAAAACGGTCACAAGTGTGACCTGGCGTAAAGTACCACACGTCACCCGTCCCATTCGGCGTGAGGATACTGATGATGGGCCCCGTCGCACTGCACGTCGTGGTGTTATTCGATTCCGTCGTGCAGCACGGCGTCCCAGTGGTGGCCGCGTAGGTGTTGCTGGTGGACGTGTTGCTCGTACCTTTGTCGGAAGCCAGGCAAGGGCTGCTAAATCCGTGGCTGCTAAAATCGACCTCCAGGAAGTTGTCTTCGTCCTTCCGGGAAGAACCCCGTTGACTGTTGCGCGTGCCGCGCCTCATTCCGGGAAGTTGTTTTTCCTTCCAGGAGGGCCGTTTTAGCAGCCACGATTTTAGCAGCCCTCGCCTAGTTTTCGACATTGCTCGTCGTACTCGTGAGTGTGAGGTTGCCGGTGTACACGTGCGCGCACCTCGGTGGGCTGGCCAGGGACCTCATGGCGCTGGTCACAACACTCGTGAATGTGAGGGTGTCGATGTTGGCTCCCGTCGTACGGTTCGACGCCGCGGTGCTCCGCGCCTCGCGCCCCACAGTGTCGAGGCACTGGTGACAAAGGACCTGTTGACGGACGTGGTGATGCTGGGCCCCGTCATGCTGCCCAGCGTCTCGGTGCTCAGCTCCGTCGCGCTGCTCAGGGTCGAGGTGCAGGTCGCAGACGTGTTGCTGAAGGACGTGGTTCTCGTTGCAGCGCCCGTCTCACCCGTAGGAGTGAAACTGCTGCAGCTGTATCCCGTCTACTCGACGTCGTATTGTTCGATGTCGGAAGGGGGGCAGGGGGATCGAAAAGAGGAGGGACGGAGGAGGGGGAGAGAAGGAGGAGGGGGAAGCCAAGAGAGGTGAGGGCAAATTGAAGGAAGGAAACGGACGAAAAGAGAGAAGAGGGGAAGGGGAAAAAGGAGGTGGAGGCAAATATGCAGTAATACTGAGTGTACCAGTGGGGGCAAAGAGATCGGCCACCATGCCTCTGGGCACGGAGTGGACGTGTCCTCAGGTCATTTGCCCAATCCTTGGAGCCTCAATCCTCAATCTTGCAGGGGCCCGAAACCCAAATTCTCGAGTCTCACGGGCTTGGCGCGTGCACCTGGGCTACGGGAAGCGTTCCTGCATGAACTTGTCGGGACCAAGAAGGCACCAAGACAGGCCAAAACGGCCCCGAAAAGCCCCCAAGACGGTCCAAGAGGGCCCCGAGTCGCCGAAAGATCGCTCCAAGACGCGCAAGATGGCTTCCATACGCCCAAGAAGCCTCCAAAACGCCCAAAGAAACCTCCAAGAGACCTCCGAAGAGGGCCCCACGTGGCCAAGATCATTGATTTGGGCGTTTCCGTTTTTTTTCCAACTCCCCGACGCTCCCAAACGGCCCTAAAGGCCCCCCAAGACCGCCCCAGGACCCAAGAAGCGCCCAAAACGGCCCAAGAAGGTCCCAAGACGGCCCAAAAAGGGGCCCCAAAGAGGGAACATGAATCGAAAATCATATCTTTCTGCCCCAAGAAGCCCGAAGGAGGCCCCATAAGGCGCCCGGGCCCACGAGGTTCTCAAGAGGCCACAAGAGAGCCCCAGACGGCCCCTAAATGCCCAAAAGTCGCACCAAAGGGCGCCAAAACGGCCCCCAAGAGGCGTCCAAACTGCTTCCAAGAGGCCCGGAGAGGCCTCCCACGAGACCCCCACCACTAACATCCAGTAGGCTTCATACCCATTTTTGTTGCGTCGGCAGCTAGGCAAGGTAACTGCGCTGGTGGAGGGCAACCTTAACGGGGGTACAAGTGTAGCGAATTGTGCCACCATGCAGGAGGGAGAGGAAAAAGCAGCTGAGGCGGCCGAAAAACGGGCGGAAGGAGCGAGCCGCTCAGGGGGACGGGTCACGCCTCGAACGTGTGGCGCGACTGGCCCTGCCGGCGAGCCCGCGGCGGCTGCTGCACCAGAAGGCCGGCGGCGGCGGGGCGCAGTGCAGGGCAGCACCACCCCAGAGGGCAAGGATGCGAAGCGGTCAGTGTCAAGGCCTGGTGGCCTCCCTTCCCCAGGGCGGGAGCGGGCGGGGCTGCCAGCAAACAGCTGGGGCGCCGGCGGCGGGCGGCAAGAACAGCCCGGGGGGCCGGCGCGGGTGGCGGCTGCTGGCAGCCTGGGGCGACGGCCGCGAGCAGCCGGGCAGCGCCATGGCGGCGCGTGGAGGGAGGGAGAGCGAACCGGGGGGGGCAAGCAAACAGGGAGGAGGACGCCTCGCCTGTGGCGCCCAAAGTGGGAGGCCGGCAGGGCGGCAGCGCTGGCGCAAGGCACCGCCCAGCGCAGGGAGCAGCGCGACCGCGGAGCCCTGCCGGCGCCAAGCGCGGGCAGCGAGCGCGCCCCCGAAGCCCCCGAAGCCCGCGAGCGAGACGGAGGCGCCGGTCGGCAGCAGCGCCATGGGCGCCGCCCCGCAGGGCAGGGGGTCTTCATACCCACAGCCACGGCACGGTGACGGGATGGGCCGAAGGCCGTTGGACAAAAGGGGCAGGGGAGGCAAAGGTTGGTGGGCTGGGCAGGCGAGGTGAGGTTGGTTGACTGGAACGCGGTTAAGCAATGTGCGAACACTCGGGAAACAGAAGAGAAGGGGAAAAAGAGACGACGACGACAACGACGACGACAACGACGACGACGACAACGACGATGACAACGACGATGACGACGACGACGGCTCAGAGCACAACCCCAAACTAAGTTCAATTGCAGTTGTTATTGTGTAAATCCTGTTTCGCTGTGCATGGACACGTTGTGAAATACAGGACCCCAATCTCTACCACCAGCGTCGCCGCAGACGTGACATGAAACGCGATGTATGGGCGGATGAAATGGAATGCACCAAACAAACACGTGCTGCAATGTCTCAAGGGTGCGCCCTTCAAAACAGAGAGCCAAAATGGAAAGCCAGGCACCGTCCACATACTGCTGGTTACACACACACACACACTGGTACACTGATGCAACAGAAACCAAGTACGAGGCCGCGCAGACGTGAAGCTCTCCGACGCTGCGCGCTAAGTGGGGAGCGTCATCGCAACCTTCTTCGAAACATTCCCGTCGTCTTGCTTGTGTGCTACACTGGCTGCGCACATCTCATTCCTCCCCCTCCGCTGCTCTCTCCCCCCGCACCTGCACCCTCCCCGTCAACCTCGTCGTCCTGCCCCAGAGAGGGAGAAAATAAAAAATAAAAAAAAAACATATAAAAAATGAAGAAAACACATATAGATATAAGAAGAAGAGGAAGAAGAAAATAATAGGTGAATATATATATATATATACAATTGTTTTTTCATTTGTTGTTTGCACACCTAATAGGTTAAGAGAAAATCTATTGTTTATAACAAAAAAAACATATACAATAAAAACAGACAAAAAAAAAAAAAAAAAAAAAAAAAAAAAAAAAAAAAAAAAAAAAAAAAAAAAAAAAAAAAAAAAAAAAAAAAAAAAAAAAAAAAAAAAAAACGCGCGCGCGCCGCGATTGCCTCCGCCAGCCTGCGCATCCTCGCCAATCGAGCTGTCGGCCCAAGCCCTGGGCGCCGCCACGCACCGCATGCTGAGGCGAGAGGCACTCCAGACCGCCCTCCCTGGCGCAGAAGAATGTGCGCACTGCACTTCACAACATCGCCAGTCTCCGCTGTCCATCCGTCCTCATCCGTACCCTCCCCACTACTCCCTCACCCTCCTCACTATACGACTATATTCTGCTCACGGCACTCTCCCTCCCCATGATCATCCTCCTGATTCCCCTTCTCTTCGCCATTGCCACAAACGATCGCATTGCTCGAATGTTCCGCTCGGCCATGACCGCGCTCGCGGTATCTGCCGATGAGGGAGGGAAGGTTACACCCTGCGAAATGCTTATGAAATCATGGGTTAAGAAATTCATAGTCTCAGAACTTGAATAAAAACCCAACATTCCCATTGAAATATTAAGATTTACATTGGAACGTTAAGAATAATCGAGAATCTGGCCGAAAACGTAAGTTTTCTTAAGCATTGCCCAAGGTGTAGGGCACTGACGTGGCAGTGGGCCAGGCACGAATTCGAACCGCGGCGCGAGAGGGGCGCCGGCACGTCCGGGCCAAGAGCTCGCAGCGCAGAGACGTCCATCAAGAACCACACTGTGAACTCGCAAGAAGCCCTCGCGAGAAACCCTCGCAAGAAAACCCAACCCTGAGAATCCCTGCGCGAGGTGCACCTGAAGGGGAAATCCGGAGCACCCTGTACGCAGCAGCTCCTTCGACGGCCGCGGGAAGTCACCGCGCAGCGCGAGGAGCGAAGAAACCCAGGATGCCCTGACGAAAAGCATATGGCTTCTTGATGCGCGCCCCCACTGTATAAAGGCAAGAAGGCAAAATTATCTATAATTCAAACTTGTGGGCAAAGGAATCATACAATGCTGCCGTCATAGGCGTGCCGCCCACTGAAGTCTCTCAGCGGTCCGCAGCTGTTGACATGCTCGGCACCACGACTGCCCAAAGATGCGCGTCGGCGAGGATGCTGCTCGAGTACGGGAAGAAGGAATCTTGGACTGTCACTGTTCGTAGTGCACAAACCCTGAGACCTGACGTTGAGAAAAATTGTAACATCTCAAGAAAATCACCACCAGAGCCTTGGACCCCATCTTCATACGTCATGTTTCGAGCCGGATCGATACATGAGAGTCCCGGGGCCCGAAACTGGGAGAAAGCGCTGGTTGTGGAAGCAACGCCCAGATCCGAGGGAATGCGTGCTCTCGTGGACGAGACGTCCCAACCACCAGTCACGTCTTTGCCTCGGACGGCACGCCGTCCTCGCACTGCGCAAAGAGCTATGAAGATACTGATGTAATGGACCAATGGAAAACGCGGCAAAGCATAAAATCCGCCGACCCTGTCAGCATGTGGAATGAGTTGTTATTCTCGTCCGTCCCTCCTTCCCTTTCCCACCTTTTCCGTCTCCTTCTCGTTCGTCTCCCCATCCTCCTCCTCCTCCTCCTTTTCCTCCTCCTCCTCCTCCTTCATCTCTTCCTCCTGCGTAAAGTAAATTGACTCGAAGGGTTTCCCTTCCCTTTGTTCCCTTCCCCGGCCGGGGGAGGGGGGTCCCGGGGGAAGCCCGGGGGGGTCCTGGGCGGGGTCCCCATGGATCCTGAAGGGGGGTCCCTGGGGGGGTCCTGGGGGGGTCCCACTCCCTCCTCCTCCTCCTGAACGTTTTTTGCCACCTTCTCCATCTCCTTTTCGTTTGTCTCCCCCTCCTCCCTCCTCCTCCTCCTCCTCCTCCTCCTCCTCCTCCTCCTCTCTCTGCTCCTCCTCCTCCCTCTCCTCCTCCTCCTCTCCTCCTCCTCCTCCTCTGCTCCTCCTCCTCCTCCTCCCTCCTCCTCCTCTCCTCCCCTCCTCCTCTCCACAATTACTCAATATGAATATACTCTCCCTCTTCCCCTGATGGCGTCCGGGTGATAGCCGCGCACCCTCCGCGTACTGTTTTTTACACACAGGATGCCCGGAAAATCCCGGGAAACGACTCTCGCTGAGGCGCCGGCGTCATTTTTCCCAAAATGCTGCTCTCGCGCCGGCGTCATTTTTTCCCAAAATGCTGCTCTCGTTGAGGCGCCGGCCTCATTTCTGCTCCCGAATCCTTCCCCTGATGGCGTCCGGGTGATAGCCGCGCACCCTCCGCGTACTGTTTTTTTACACACAGGA